TTGGAACGGCTGTTTCCAAACATCTATCTTGGTCTTTATAAAAAAAGAATTCAGACATCATATCAGCACACATTGCAGAACACAATCGAGAATCACCACACGCTTTAGAACTTCCTGCTGGCTGTTGGTGACAAAAAATGAAGCCTTGTTGATAAAAGCCTCAGCATTCACTGCATCATCATCCTAAAAAATGAAGAACTAAATGAGTTCAGCAAACACTATGCATTGAGGACAGACCAGAAAACAAGCACTAACTCTCTCATCACAAGCTTGAGGGCACTATTTTTTAAACAATATATGGCCTCTGACTCTGAGTGACTTACAAAGCACGAGAAGTAGTCAACTCAGAATGTCAAAACCAGCGATGAGAGAGTTGTTTTTGAGATGCACTGATTTTTATAGACTCTGTTAATTGGATTGTGGTTTAAAGAACACATTTAGACTTGCTTAGAGCTAATTACTTATACATTTCATTGTAACTTTCAGTTCAACTATTTGGCACTGTGCTGTTATGCATCTGTTGTTATTTTCCATCTCTACCTTACCTTAATGTTTATTAATGAAGATGGTTTCTGTTACTTCATTCCACTGAATGCATTTAGAAATTATTTACAGCGAAGTACTTCACCTTTTTTTTTCTCCTTTATGGACCTCCAGGCACATGGAAGAAATTGCTGGTATGTGTTGTTGCTCATCACACTGATTGCACATTCATCAGGATTTCTTTTTCTGAGCTGGTTTTGGTTCAGAAGTATATCGAGGATGGTTCATAAACTCTTTGTTATGGGCTTATGGCCAGGTAGGTTGTTCATTTGCCTGACCCATTCTAATTATGGGTTGTTTGGATGTCTTAACCATGTGTTTTTTAAATTCACAAAATTAAGCTTCATTGGGAGCTATTAGGCACTTTAACCTGGAATTTCAGTTGTAATTCCCCTGGTTAATAATAAGTCTCCAAAACATGGATGCTAATAATTAGGTGGAGTACGGGTGCACACACCACCAAAGCCACGGCCAGGCACATCAATTTCCTCCTTAACCCATGGCCAAGGCCATCTTTGGTTAGATGCGAGACTGTGTCCAACTGATTGGATTGAACTATGCATCGATACAGGCTGGGCAGTCTTGCCTGGCACTATTACCTATCTCCCGCAAGAGTCCAAGCTCAGTTTGTTTTGCTGACTTTATACCTGATCCTTACATAAGTCCTTTTTCAAGTAAAGAAACATTTTGATATGCGAAACTGATTGAGTTTCGGTACCAATGAAGCTGGAAGCTGAAAATCTGATATTGTACCATGTTTCAATTTTCATCTTCTGTGTTCCTATTATTTGTGCAACTAACATATTTGTATTAGTTATTAGATGTAAGGGACCTTACATACTATCATGGATCAATGTAGGTGGCTACAATGTAAGGTAGGATGATGGTGTCATAGCTGGTGAAGCATGAGCGCATTGACACTTCTGTCAAAAAGTTACTTCTCTTGCATACTGTCATTTATTTGAGTGGGTGCTTGTGGTGGGCGGGGCAGGATTTGTGTCTCCAGATTTCTGTCGTTGATTTCGTACTTTTGTTGTGGTTCATTTCAGGCAATAGAGATATGAAGGCGGGTCAGATTGCATTGCTAGGGAAGGAGGTAATTATAACACTTCTCCCTTGGTGGCTGGTGCTTATTAAATTCCATCCTCAAATATCGTGGTATTCCATGGTTTCCATGAATCTGTATAGAGCAGTGGGTGTAAAGCAACTTCGCAATAATTTGTGAACTATGCACAGGATAGAATAATTGTAAGAAAGAAATCACTTAGAATTCAGATTTGCGGATGCGACTTCACTAGGCCTGTATGCATCAAAACTGGAGTTGGACAATATCAGCCACTGGTTAGCACTTTTGGTGTCATGTCTATTGTTTGACATTCTACTTCGATGAGATCTCAAAGATATTGTTTACATGTAGTTTCTTTTTTTTTAACTCTTTTGTGTAGAAAAATTTGAGGCTTCCGTACCAATGCACGGGCATCTGCTAGTGTGGTTAAAATTTGTAAATAATTTTGTTTTGCTAGTATACATTATTTAAGTATTACAGTTCATCCACATTATACAAGTGTGGTTAAAATTTGCAAATAATTTTGTTTTGCTAATATGCATTATTTAAGCATTATAATTCATTTACATTTTACAACTGTGGTTAAAATTTCTCAAAAAAATATTGCTGGTTTGCATTTATTTATGTAATAAAATTCATCCACATTATATAGATAAACACTAATGAGATCTCAATATAAATTGGTTCAAACACTTTATTTGGTCTGGAATCTAAATATAAATATCATATCACCAGCAGGCTAAAAGATGACGATGCTCCACATTATCATTACGCGCTAACTTTGTCCATTTCTACAGATTGAGTACTACGGTCCCGTCTCTTCGCTAGTCGCTACTACTATTTCTTTTCACATAAAGTCGTCTCCAAATATTCACGACAGTGTGCGTAAGATCTCCCACCAGGAAAAATCCCCTATTGTTAATTTACTCCTGCTAGCAGCTGTGATCCTATGGTTTTCCTAAGCAACTGCATAAACCGAAAACCCAATTCTCACTTGTACACTCAACGAAGTGTTTGAACCAATTTATATTGAGATCTTTTATTAGTGTTTATATATATAATATGGATGATTTTTTTGGCATAAATAATGCAAACCAGCAATACAATTTTTTTTGGGAAATTTTATCCACAGTTATATAATGTGGATGAATTGTAATGCTTAAATAATGTATATTAGCAAAACAAAATTATTTGAAAATTTTAGCCACATTAATATTAATATAATCTAGACGAGTTTTAAAGTACAAATAAAGCATAGAAATAGGCAGTGTCATTGAGGGAACAAGTATATTTTTTCTAACATCACATGAAGCAGTGTCATATAATGAGTCAGTGTATTTTATAGATCAGGGGTATTCTAGCCATTTCGCATGACACTTAACGGTGTTAGCCTCTAAAAGTGACGGTAGTGTCGTATAGAGTACAGAAATTTGAACACAGTGTCATACCAGGAATTTTGAACTTTTCAGGACCGCAGAAGGTATAAGTGAGTTTCACGGACCTTACAGGCAAATTGACTGCGGCGTGCATCACTCTGCATTAACGATCCGTCTGAGTCTGCCGTGTTCTGTTTTCAGCGGGTCCGTCCAGTCCAGAGACGTGCGGTCAACTGCATACCTGCAACAAATGCTGCCTGCACGGCGCGCATATCCGCCGAGCATCGGCACGGCACACCAGAGGGAGCACGACGGGTTCAGGTTCCGAGTTCCGACTCAGTGCATCAAGCACGTCGTGTGGTTGCTTGTTCGCAGCGTCTCACCGCGAGCGCGTGTGCCGTGCTGCCCGTGCAGGCAGCGGCCGGATGAGCACGGTGCGGTGCCGGTGGGGCTCCTCAGAGCCTCCGAGCTCCGACGCGCCCTGGCCCCCATGCGGCCATGTTTGCGTGTTCGACGGCACACGGCAGTCAATCAGACGATTCCGCTTTCGGCCGTGGACACACTCTACGGTGCGGTGCCCGCGTAGCTAGTATTTGCACGCTGATTAATAGCAGCACATCTCTGTTGGTTGCTGTGGCGCAAGCAAATTGACTACAGCTCTCTGCATTAACCACCATCAATCTGCCTGTAAGAGTAGTGTCGACCGTCTCCTGCAAGCTGGTCATGCTCTCTATTCAGCGGGTCGGTCCAGAGACGTGCAGTCAAATGCTTCACCTGCACGGCGCGCATACGGCATACCCGAGCATCGGCACACCAGAGCTCGATGGGTTCTGATAATTCCGACGCAGCAGGCGTGTCCGGTCTCGCGGACTCCACGGTCGGCGTCTGAGCGCGAGAGACCAAACCGATCATTTGCAAAGAAAATGAATGAGGCTGATGCGTGGGGTGGGGGCACATGGGCATGGCGGGCCCAGGCGTGACCCCTGCGCGGTGTACAAACAAGATGGAACCATCCTCAGCCTCAGCCTCAGCCTCAGCCAGTGATGGCTGTTGGGTCACAACCTTATCCTGCTGCTGCCGCTGCCTATGCACCACCCACAATGGTACCTAGAGCTCCTGCTGTTCCAGATCAACTCAGTGCTCAGCACCAGATGGTCTTCCAGCAGACTCAACAATTTCACCAACAACTTCAGCGGCAGCAGCTCAGGGGCCGAATTTTTTATTTGTTCACCCTTTTTTTGAATGTTATTCACAGATATGCACATGAAGGTATTCTTTCAAAATCTTAAATCTTATAAATAGTAATAATATGGCATTGAACGACCGACCCTACGATTGAAACACCAATACATCAACCTCTATAAAGGACCGAGCTTATATGTTGTGCTTCCTCTTCGAAGACAAACGAGGTGGTACTAAATCTTAGCGCAAGCGCTCACACTCAGCTACCAGCTGATCACCTCTCTCTTGCTGGAGGATGTGGCCACGGCCCAGTGATTCCGGTACAGGGAGAACAGGCCCATTAGCCCATTTGAAATGCAGCTGACCAGTGACCATTCGTTTCTGCAGTTGCCTCAGCCGGAGTTGACAATTCCCCTGAACACTTGGATTCTTAATGGCGTCATCAACCACATTACAGCCTGCGGATTCACGTCAAGAACTGTGTCGGACGTGCCGGTGCTGTTCTACCTAATTTTCGTACAGACGCTGACAGGTGCGTCAGTTCACCACCACGTCCGTCGGGACGGAGTGAAACGCTATGACCGGCAGATGACGTCTACGCATGGCGCCAGTGACAAACAGGGCCGTGACATGGAGCCGTCCCTGTTGACATCTATAGGATCAGCGGGACCCGCATGAAGGAGAAGAAGGACCCGGTAATCCTAGAAGCCTTCTCTCTCGTTCTTCTCTTTTTTCTCCTCTGTAACCCGCGCTTTCCTCTCGTCTATAAAAGTTACATGTATCACCTTCATCATTTCTACCAACCTGTATGACCATTGTTGTTGTCCTCTGCTATGACAGCTCTAGTTGAGACATTCCCTGAAGAAGCCGCCACAGTAGAGTCGCCGGGGAAGTTTGAAGACGCCACCTCTGAAAATGCATCCAACAGCGAACTCCCCACTGGCTCACCTTTCTCTGATTTTGTGGATAATGCGAAGAAGAGAGTGATGGATGTGGTCTATAATATAACCGACTTTTTCAAGGACTTGTTCGACTCAGCCAAGGCCCAGGATGGAACAGGCCCTTCAGCTGAGAAGGGCCTTTCTGCAACAGAGATGGCTGTCGGCGGATCCTTCATGGCTCTGGCCATAGGGGTCATCCTAGTTGTTCTGTTCAAGAGGGGATGATAGCTCATGAGTACCTTCTGGGACTCATGGTGCTTTAAATCTGTCGAAAATTACTCATTTATCGTATGGTCAAGAACTCCGAATGTAATGTACAGCTTGTGTCCTTGTCCTTGGAAAACAGTACAATAAAAGACAATCTATGCTATAATATTTTGTGTGTATCTTGGTTTCTTAACCTCTGATGTGCAGACACCATAAGAGCCAAATGTTGTGCTTGATTATTACAATTGCAAATTGTATAGTATAATAACATGACAAAGGTCGTCGCTTGTTTGCTGAAACCTGAACTGAACATCTAGCCACGCGTATGCTGAATGGGCAAAAAAAAAATGAATAAAATGCAAAAATAGTCTGTCAGACAACCTCTGAGCCACCCCTAACTAGGCCAGGCCTAGCAGGAACGATCCTCTACAGCCGTCAGATGACACCTGACGGAGCATCCTGGCCGTTAATCACGCTCTGGAACAGAGGTCTTGAATCATCAACCAGACTGAAGTGCTTGCCTCCTTTTTGGTAAAGGATGCAACGGTACGAGCCTATAGAACAGATCCTGTTCAAGTAAGGTCGTGCCACAAGGTCCCAGGACCGAGCTTATATGTTGTGCTTTCTCTTCGAATATAACCGAGGTGGTACTAAAGCTCAGCGCAAGCGCTCACACTCAGCTAACCAGCTGATCACCTCTCTCTTGCTGGAGGATGTGGCCACGGCCCAGTGATTCAGGTACAGGGAGAACAGGCCCATTAGCCCATTTGGAATGCAGCTGACCAGTGACCATTCGTTTCTGCAGTTGCCTCAGCCGGAGTTGACAATTCCCCTGAACACTTGGATTCTTAATGGCGTCATCAACCACATTACAGTTGCGTCCAAACTCCAAAACAAAACATATGGGGCGTTCATAACCCAGCTACGAAACTTCGAGTAAATAAAAGAAATAATAAAATGTGTGCGCACAAGCATATTTTGTGAATTCCCTAAAAAGAAGTATATTTTGTGAGTGCATCTTTGAAGCTGACGAGCAACCGCTCCATCTATTCAGCCTGTTCGATGATTTAAGTCCGGTTGGTGCTGGTTCGTTGCGAGAAAAAAACACTATATCATGGCTGATAAGTTCTGACTGAAACCAACAAGCGAACAAGCTGATTGTTCATTCATTCCTCCAAAATTGCATTACGAGTCCCTTTGTTGGTATATTTAATTTTGTAAATGGCCCCGTTCGCTTCGCTGAAAAAACAAGCTAAAGCACTATTCCGGCTAAAAAAATAAGCTGAAAATTACGGATTATAAGAGAAGCGAATATGGCCAAAGTTACACAACAGATATAGATTGGAGAAATAAATAGCTGGTGATCAGTGAGACACTAAATAGCCCTGTTCGCTTAGACTTATCAGCTGTACCTTTTCAGTAAAATAAAAGTATTTTTCTATCACAACAAATCAGCATCAGTATTAGCCGTCTTACTGGCCAGCCGAATAGGGCCAAAGTCATGGTGTCGGCTGCCCAGAAGCCTACAGGAGGCCGTAGCATGGTGTCGGCTTCCCAGAAGCCGACAGGAGTACAGACGAGCTTCCGGCTTCGGTGCTGCCAGTGATAAGCGAGAGAGAGGAAAGAAGGGGAGAGAAAAACGGTTCCGATGAACAGTAACAGGGTGTCGGTCTCCCAGAAGCCGACAGGCAGAAGCCGGAGGTCCTCAATGTCACCCTCGGTGAGGAACATCTTCCCTCTGTTTGCGTTGTCTGCTCTCCGCTGGGTAGACGGTTGCCCTGGCTACAAAAGGAGAAAAGTGTTACCAAACCATCTATCTAAATGTTAACAGAACAGGAAATTGTGAATTGCACGGTACCTTCCGAAGGACAAATGCAAGATACAGATAGGAAACCTCCCACTCGTCTTGTGACAGTGTGCCTGCAATTTAAGTTTTACTGTTATAAGATGGGGAAAAACTGACAGCATTCGAGGGTAGCCAATCTCCAAGATTTGGTGCGAAATTACTTTGGACCTGCCTTCCATCACCAAGGGCACCCAGCCTCCATATCAGTTCAGTAAACTCTGCCTTTTGCAAATACTCATGCACAAATTCGTGGAAGTTCTTCATCAAAACCAGCTCAAGATCATACTGCAAGGCATAAAAAACAATGTGTAGTAACTAGTAACATCTGTCTGTTGAGGCAAAGGCAGCACTTGGTCACTGTCGAAGGAAGAGAACAACTCAATACCTCCTCTGCGAGTAACTTGAAGAGATGGAATGGAACGACCCATTCTGGGCAGTCAACAGCATCCTGCAAGTTGCAGAAGAAATTTATCACAGCACTTCGTTTTTAATTTATCAACACAGAAGGAACTACAAATACGTACTCAAACTTGACTGTCAATATTTAAGTTCAAGAAATGAAGAGAATCTAGTGCCAAGATTAATTACCCTTTTGAAGCATATTAAACTAAAAGGAATATAATGCATAAATTAAGGAAAAACTGTCCCACTGTTACCTCTAAGTGAAACTTGTACTTGATACCAAAAGGTCTGGATGCAGGGAATTTCTACGGCATCATCGAATCAAAACGATTGAATCAGTAACTAACAAAAATAAGGAAGATGTCATAAAATAATGGAGCAGAATTTACCTTTTCAGCATACTCTTCACCAAAGCTAATCCAGTAAATACTGTTCCCAAATTCCAAACCTTCCGCTGAGCATAGTAAAAGAGTTTTATACTATCACACAGGTTACAGCAAGAGCAAGGTGGTGACAAGGTTAGCCAACATAAGATCCAGATAGTCACTTTCAGACATACATTCTCGAAGCTTTTTGATAATGACATTCTTATCAGGCATCGTCCCGATAAAAATGCCTCCAGGACAAAGCAATGCAGACACATTTGCCAAGGCTTGTCTAGCACGTGCTTCAGTTGACCACGAATAATGTAAACCAAACTGAAATTGTAGATCGGGAGTCATTCAAAATAAAGTTTGTACGATTGAAGAGAATTCCTTGTTCCGACAATAGGAAAGCTCTTTATAACCTTACTCAATTCGTCAGCTATAACTCATAAGTTTTAGAAGATTTGACAATGAATGAGCAATTAGAAGAACATTTTAGTCATAATAGTAAATTAGTAACATTTCATTTATTGTGCAAAATGATGATACTAAATGCTGAACCATCTTCTTATGGAAAAATATTTGCATGGTAGCTGTCGCATTCACGGCCATGTAGAATTAGAGAAGCTTCGACAAACAAAAAGGTGCACTGAAAATTAGGAAAGGATAAAGTTGAACCCACACAATAAATGGAGAAATGTAAAATCAATGGCTAAACGTAGAAAACGAGATGCCTCACCTGACAGCTACATATGTCAAAAAGGAGCATCCTCACATAAATACTCATCCAAACGAGCCTATGGAAGAAACAAAAGAAAAGAAATTGGTCTGTTTGTACTTCAATCTCTGTAAACTTAATAAGCACAAGAAGAAAGTCACAGGCAACGAAACTACGAGGTACATTATATTCTGCCTAACAATGTGAAAGCAAAAGGCTGTATCACATTTTCAGTAAATAAAAGGTATAAAAAGTGTTCTATGCAAGGGCGCATGCTTGCATATAATTTGACATAATTACAAAATATGATCAGCTGTTTTAAACAGCCTGTAGTTAAATGCCTGGTAACATGTTCAGTCTATTAGTGGGTTTGCATGTGCAGAAAAGCAAACCATCAAGTTAGTCATGGGTAACCAACTAGCATTTTCCTCTCTTTTACCTCGTAACAATCAGTGCAAAGGAGTCGTGCAGGGAAACTAAACTTCTTCCTTCGTTGTTGATCTGTGTCACCATTGTAGCGGGTCATGCAATCTTTTATCTGAAAGTGTAAGGCCATTATATGTAATATGCCCATGCTCCAAACTGATGCAGATACATCAAAATATGTCACACATAAGATGAGATTACAACAGAAAGTGTTGAGTCTGTTGATTTGTAATTTGAGACCTCTAAGAGGCATGAAACATAAACACACAAGAGCACCAAGGAAAAAAAAATCAATGTTCAGAGGGCCATCAAAATCTTGAGATTCCATCAGGTATCAAGGATAGCAACTCAAAAATGGGTTAGCTGAATATACAGGTAATACACAACAACTCCAGCTGGTTTACCTGTAAACACAGAATAAATGTTTTGTGTGATAAGAAACTAACCGAGCCTTCAGCAATAGCAACTCCCACGTAGTAGCCAACCTTGGCTTTATCCCACTTTATCAAATCACCTCCCTGCGTTACAAAACAGAGCAGCATAGGTCAATGGTTAACATCAACTTCAAGCACGAGAACCAGAGCTATTTCTACTGACTACTACTATACATACAGTAACCGTAGCTGGCCACTTACCTTCCCGCAAGCAAGATCAAGCACGGAGTGGCCCGGGCGTGCATACAGCTGGATCAGAACACTCTTTATCTGCCGACACACACAGATTGAACGACGGTTACTCGGCTAGCATGGTAATGGCAGGATGCAATACAACCATCAGGGGTTCATCATTTCATCAAGGAATCTAGGCCGAATTTTTTATTATTTAGCCCTTTTTTTTTAAAGTTATTCACAAATATGTCCCTGTATTCTTTCAAAATCTGGACTCTTAGGCTCGGCGTCATCGTTGGTAGCGTCGAGGTTACACATCTCGGCGTCAGAGGTTTTGGTGCCTAGGTCGGGGCCACGTTGGCGGTGTGGACGCTGATATGGCAGCCAGCTCGGCGCCGTGGATCTTGGCGCCGTAGATCTTGGCGCCTAACTTGGCGCCGAGGTGGTGTTTTAATCCGACGACTAACCTTGCTGCCCTAGCCTTCTTCCTCTTCTTTCTCCTACATCTCGGGTTTTTTCTCTCCCCACTTCGCCCTACCTCACGAATCGGCATATTGGACATTGGAAATTTTGATTTGATCCATAGATCTTCGAGAGCAAGATATCCTCGCTCGCTCCTAGTTTTTTTCACATCGATTCGGCATATATTAGTCGGATTTTTTAACTTCAGAATCATCATTACTTAAGGTTTCATTGAATTTTAATATTTATATTATACAACCGTAGGATGCCAAGGCGTGAAAAAGCTACAAAACCAAGGTAACCTCAGCGCACGTTATTATGTTATGGGTTCATTGTTGTGGATCAAATGGAAAACCCTAGGTGTAGGGTTTAATATTAATTGCTTTCGGTTCTTAGAACGAAAATGGATCAATTGTAGTTATAGCCGGATAACCGAAAATGCCTTCGACCCATTGTCTCTGCCTAGTGGTGTTCCAGTGCCCATGTACTTTTACAGCGATACTTGCAAGGTAGCCAAGTCCGATGAAGAGGACACGTATAGGCAGAGGTATTGGATGTGTTCCAATTTTACGTTTGAGCCTACACTTGGCAGCGCCGCATTAACAAGATGGTGAGGAATTGATGTTGTGTAATAATTATTTTGTGTCATATGAAATCTTGCATGATTTTTTTTTGTTTTGTAACAATTGCATTTATTGCAGACCCCTCCACCGTTCTTTAATTTTGAGGAGTGGATCGACACTAAGATCAAGCCTAAAGACAAGAAATGGATGCGTAATCATTGCGGTGGGGAGGCAAAGGACAAGGAGATGATGGAGACGAGACGCGTAGAGGAGGCTAAAAAAAGGAGCACAAGGAAGAGGAGGGAAGTAGGCGTGTTGCTGCGTACAGGGAGGAGAGGGAGAAGAAGCTTGAGCGTGCACGCCGAGTGAAAGCAGCGATGGAGGAGAATCCTGATGCCCTGAAGAAAAAAAATGGCCTTGTTGCACTCAATAGTCTCTATTACTTGCTAGTTCTATGGTTTATTCATGAACAATGTTGTCTACTGTATTGTCATGTAATACACTTTAAGTATGGGCATGCTCAGGTCATGTACTGCGTTATTTAGTTTGTCGACACGTACTTCTAGTATTATTGTGTTATTTAATGTGTCATAGTATTGGACTTTTTATTGTGTAGTTGTTTTTATTATTTGTGGTCATAATATTCAGCTTAATATTGCGGACATAGTGAAATGTGATCACGTGCTGCAAATAAAACCTAACAAAGTAGAGCATTATATAATTCAACACACACGACACATGAAATGACATGTGAGAACATGTACCGAACTAGGGTACAGAGGTCCTGAACTAAACCTAACATGCCATAGGTAATTGAAGCGAACAACAAACACACGAAATGGCATGTGAGAACATGTACCAAATAAGGGTATATAGTTCTTTCGACTAAACCTAACATGTCTTAGGTAATTAAACCAAACAACAAACACATGGGTGTGCTATGAGAATAAGATAGGGTCGTCCTAGCAGTGTGGCCACATAGCAAATTATGTTGCACCTTCTCCACAGTAGCCTTTCTTTGTTGTTGGTGGTGGTGGCAGGGGTGACGGTGCAATATGGATTAGGGCAGGTGCAATATGGATAGTTGCAGAGTGCCTCCCGTGAACATGCACCATTGTTGTTGTTGTCGTCTTCGTCTTCCTTGTACCGCTGCTAACTTCCCTTTATAGATCGAAGATTTAGTCCTACAGGTAGTAGATGTACTGATGCGGATAAATTGGTCGAGGATCGACCCACCTAGTGAACACATAGTTTTCTTCGGACTCGGAAGACTACAATAAGTATGTCCTGTGAGCTGTAAGAGTATTCGAGAAACATATTTAACAAACGAAATATAATAGCAATTACCCATGCTCGTGGGCATTTAAAGAAGCGACGACCTCCGTTGATCCCCTTGGTGAACATCTGCACTAAGCAGTCCTCACCATGCATGCATTTTGGTCAATCTTTCTTCCTGTTATCGTATCCTCTAAGAGGACACTCTTTAGTGAAATCACTCTTGCTCTCGGGAAAAAACTGATACACTGATTCCTTAAAGAAATGAGGCCCAAGAGACCCCTCCCACACAATGGGAGTTCCCTTCGTCCCCTCCTTTCCTCTACTACTCTCGAAACCCTTTCCTCTAGATGGCCCTCCGGACATTCCTACTCCAACAAAAACGAATCCTAGTTTGGTTTTTCTTTTGGTTAGCAATGCATCCTAGAACGCATATATATAGACGGAGGAAGGTTTGGTAGCCGTTGTATTATGATATAAATGCTCCTGGAAAGTCTACTCAGAATTACTGAAAAGCCTACATTGTAGGACATCGGAGAGCCTAGATTCCATGACTGAACAACCTATTCGATTTTAGACTTCAATCACTATTTCGAAGGACACTGAAAAGTCTATTCGACGGTGACATGACAAATCACTGTAAAAGCTATTTCCCCTAGATTCCATGACTGAAAAGCCTATTCGATTTCAGACTTCAATCATTTTTTTAACAGGTAAAACAGATGCCGCTGATTAATACGTACTTTAGGCAGAAAAATTCGGCAATTTTTGTTCCTACTTTTTGATGCAATCCATACACAAATATGAGATGAATATTTGACCTCAATACAACATGTTCAAATATACAAATATTTGCCACATTCATCTAAAACAATATACATGAGCATATTAATAGTCCACACAGTCTATAATTATAGTCCAGAGTAGTTCATATTCGATAATAATAGTCCATACAGTCCACAATAGTTCATAATAAAAGTCCATAATAGTACATAATAACATCTACCACAAACCCTCACTGCCTCCTAGTCTTACCCATACCCTTGTGACCAAGAGCGTTGGGGAAGAGAACGCAAGCAAATAGGTGTAGGATCCATGCTCTGTAGTAGTACCCAACTATCTCCTCATCTACCTCCTTGGGGCACTGCGCAAACTCTTACCGGAGCCAGGAGATTAGAACTCCAGAAGTGTGAGCCCCTTGCTCATCAACTTCACGCCCAAGGAAGGCCTCTACTCGTGCTCTCCAACCTTCTGACCTGCACTTACCAGTCACTGCGTTGCCGTGAATCCTCAGACCTAGCATCTTCTCACAGTCCTAGAGTGTGACTGTCATCTCTCTAAAAGGCAAGTGAAAGCTGTGTCTCCGGATGCCACCTACATTTTAGACAAAGCAAGATTACATGTAAAAAAGGTAAGCGCATGAACAAATGGCCATGAATTGAGGCAATGATTGAAGATAATACCTGTCAACCAATGCAGTTATGGCCGCTGAGTTGAACTTGGGCAACCCACGATGAACCTAAAAAGAGATGACATCTAGGCTAGCTCTTTGCAGGAAAGGAGTGTACCTGTTATCGTACTACATGTCCAAGAATACATTGTGGGTTCAAGGACGAAGGAGCGGAAGGTCCTGCATGGAATAAAACATAGTCTCCCGTTACTTTATGAACACATGTACGCTCACAAAAAAATGAACAAGACGTATGGATTATTACCTGCCCCTCCGCTATGAGACATCCTCGGTGGGTCTCCTCGTACACCGGGTTGAGTAGGTGGAATTGCGCCATCCTACAAAAAAGTCAATGAAATAGAAATTCAATATACAATGAAACATAAACTTAGAAATGTACAAGTAATTGACACAATTACAAGCATAAATTGAGACATGCATAATTAATTGAATGAATACGACAAATATGAAATAATGAAAACAACCGATAGTCGCACCTCACTAATCTGCCAATGGCAAGTGCGTGAATTGTGGCCCAGTCTACAACACTTGTCGCACTCGTACTGCTCGGGGTCAATAAGAAATGGGGTTCCTCTCCCACGCCTCGTTCTTCTGGGTATCTGATCCATAACCATATTGTGCCTCGTCCTCTTCCGTGATCCACGCTTGTTCCAACGGTAAGTTGGATCCGCAATGTACTTTGGTCCATCATATGGAGGCCACTCTCCAGGGTCCTAGAAAGGCACGAAGTGGGGGCTCCATGTGTGCACATGCATGTCGACACTAAACTCGTGAGGTATCCTGCTATCGATATTAAAGTTGCGATGCCTAGCTACTGCCACCAAATGAGAACATAGAAAGTGGTACTGCCTTGGTTTACCACAAGTGCATGTGAAATCTTGGAGGATTACCACATGCATCCTCGACTCTCAGACCTCGCCGTCGGACGTTGTACCGCCCCTATGCTCGACCTGATAAGTCCCTCTGGCGTGGTCAAAACATGTTACCTCATGTGTGCTAGCCCTTTCATTTGCCTTCTCTAGGTGTGCCTTTGGTTTCGAAGCCCATATCTCTCCATCACTCTGCAACTTCAATGCATGAGCATGTCTATCGTTGAACCAGGCAACAAGCTTGTAGAAGGTGAATTGAACGATTGTATTCACGGGCATACCACGTATCCCCAATAGCAACTTATTGAAAGACTCCACCATGTCGCTGCACTGAAACTCATACCTCCATCCACTGGCGTCATGAGCTCTTGTCCATTTCTCCAAATCCCTCATCAAACCTGTGAGCCATTGTCTACCTTCTGCATTTGATGTGGTTTTGACCTGCTCTAACTTTTTTTTAAAGTACTTGTCCTCAAGCTGTCGAGTAGTCTTCTGGAATAGATCAAAGTTATTTTTAACACCATCCTTCCAGAGTAGATTCTCGACAAGGTGCCGAGTACACCAACGATGGTGCATACCCCTCTATCTGCTCTCGCACGGCATTAAGTATGTCCTAGTGCCTATCAGATATGACGCCAACCTCCCTGCCAGGCCTAACCACATGTATCCAGACTAGCCTCAAGAACCATCCCCAACTGTCATTGTTCTCCTTCTCAACCAAAGCAAATGCCAAAGGAACCAACTTGTTGTTCACGTCACAGGATATGGCTATACGAAGTGTGCCCTGGTATTTGCCAATTAAGAACGTACCATCAATGGAGAAGACGGGACGACAGTGCCTAAAGGCCTCGACATACTGAGGGAAGCACCAGAAAGCATGGAAGAATATCTGCCTCCCATCCTTCCATGCATTTGGTTTTGGGATATACTCATAATGCATGCCTGGATTCACCGCTTTGATTGCATTGAAAAGTACTGGCAGCTGCTCATACCCATCCTCCCGCCTCCATATCATCTTCCACGCTCGCTGCTTAGCCCTCTAAGCTTTACCATAAGTTATCACATAACCTCCATACAATGCCCCAACGGTCCTGATAATTGTCCTAACCTTCATGTTGGGTTCTCCCTGCAATATTCCCATCAACCTCTTGGCAATGAGGGTAGATGTCAACTATTGATGCTTCAGTGTCAGCACATGGTCAGCACAATTGTGTGGCCCGACAACTTTTATGATCTTTCACTTTTCAGTGATCTTTTGCTTCTTTGCACAAACCCTCCATGGGCAGCGTTCCTTGTCACACACAACTGTGTAACGGCGCTCCACATGTGAATACAAGACCTTGTAAGGTCTATTTCATATCACTACAAACACCTGCAACCACCTCTTCAATGTAGGGAGGTCCTTGAATACCCTACCCTTCTCAATTACCATGTTAGGGCCAGCCTTAGGAGCTTCTAGGAGCTCATCATCACGTCCTGCTGCACACGCTTGATCGGAATGAGCAAGATCGCTGAACTCGTGAACTCTTGGATCACGACGGCTGGGAAAGATACGCCTCAGCATCTCAACATCACTCTTCGTCAGTTCTCCAATAGGGCGATCATCATCAGAATCAAGAGCCCTTGCCATCTCATATGGCTCCGATTCATTCATAATTTTAACACTATTAAAGCCATGGAATCCATCTCCACAGTGCACTTGCGCAGCAACAGGGGGCACATCCACATTGTTAGGAATGTCTCCTGCAACATAAGTAGAAAAATAAGGAAAGAATGAAAAAATGGATGTAAGGAAGGGGTAAGCTCCCAATAACTATGCGGATAAGACACTTACTCGGATGATTCTGTGTCAAAGGGATCTCATGAGGAGGATCTGCCACAACATCATGAGTCTGACAAGCATCTCTGACTAGCTCATTGGGGACAGATTGAGCATCGGGAACCGTAGGTGCAACCTCCACATCCATATTAGGTTCAGGAACAGGAGGGTCAAAGTGTGCCTGCTGACCCATTGGTGGGGAAAACCCATGAGGGATGGGATCAACTAACACCCAACGCACAACCACGTTCAAACTTTGGAACTGACACTTCATAGCCGATCTCACATAGTTCTCTTGCTGGTCTGCACACCCAATTGGGATCATCTTCCTTAGGATGTTGGGAGGGGAACCTAGGTGAAGTACACCCTCCACTGCGATGCCATCATCTCTATGGTAATGTAGCTCCTCCTGAGCCTTTGCAACCAAATCACTAAATGAAGGCTTCTCATTGAAGCTCATATGGTGTGATGTCATAACACAATGTTTCTGAGATAAACAAAAAAAGATTATAGATTGCATCATTCATGTACAGCGGAATAAATCGTGAATAAATTAAATAGCATCACAGTCAACACCTTACTTCACGAGTTATTTTACCCATGATGCATATTTGTTGGAGCTCATATGGTGTGATATTTCTTGGATCTTAAAGTTCCGTGGAACCTACACACACAACATGCCAAAGCTCATGGTGGAGACCAACAAGGTGAACCTTCATCAGGTGCTTTCACTTGGCGAAGTTAGTCCCATCAAATATGGATACCTTGCCTGCAGGCACCGAGACAAGGGTTGAAAGTGTAATCAAGCCTTAATTGTGGATTTTTGTGATAATGACCATGCAATTAGAGAACTAATGAGATTTATCGAGATGACAAGCAGGGAATTTATATTCGAGGATGCTACACGAAATGAAGGAGCCCCCAATTAGAAATATAGAAGGCTTCAAACTCAAAAGAGGTTTAAGATTCTTTTATATCTTGAATTGGAGTATAGGAAAAGCCGTACTATAAAGGGAGACACAATGCTTAAGCTAATATGTACTACCAAGTGCTCAAACAACCACAAGCATCCTCAGTTTCATAGCCAAGACAATCTATACTTTACTATTACCCTTGCCGTCTTGCGTGGTGAGGCACTGACGCACTTAAGTCATGGCACAAGAAAGTTAGCGCCCACGCTGACTTCCCCTGATGGCTCGAGACGTATTAAATGGTCTCGCCCGACCCCTTGGGTGCGGGATCCGTCTCGCACGACCCCTTGGTGCGGGCTCCGTCTCGCCCGACCCCAAGGCCGCGGGATCCGTCTCGTCCGACCCCAAGGTCGCGGGCTCCGTCTCGCCCGACCTCGAGGCCGTGGGCTTCATCTCGCCCGACCCCTTGGATGCGGTGACCGTTGAGGGCTGGGGGTATATATACCTTTCCCTTTCCTCCCCAACGACTATCTACGATTTAAGTGACCGTTGAAGGCTGGGGGGTATATATATATCTTTTCCCCTTCCTTCCCAACGGTTACCTGCCTCTTCCTCCTCACTTGAGCACGTCCAAAGCAGAGCAGGAGCTATTTCTCTCTCCCTCCATTGTTGACCTCAAGCCCTCAAGCAAATCCATTGACTTCTCCATCAATCCTTGAGAAAAAAGTGTCCCAAACTCGATTAGAGAGTAGCTCCATTGATTTCCCAACTCTAAAGAGCACTTGGTTCACGTTTTGGCCGGCGGTTGTGTTTGTTACTCTTGGAGCTTGGCTCCTAGCCGGCTAGAGCATCGCTCGTGGAGATTGCTAACTTATGTGGCAGCCACGGGAGGTTTGTAACCATCTCTTAAAGCTAGTAAACTCACCCCTCATCTCAAGAGTTCAATCTCTTGACTTGAGAACGAGGAAGGGCTGGAAAGCTCTAAGCCTTAGTGGCTAACCTCAACAACATGGAGGTAGGCAAGCCTTGGTGGCGAGCTGAACCATGGGATAAATCATTGTGTCACTTGTGCTTGATTTACATTACTTGCATGACACATTGTGGTTGAGGTGATTTCTAGGGTTTTTAGTCGATCTACCTGTGTGTGGTGTTTCTACCACTTCTAGCTCTTGATCTGTGATTGTCATACCTGCAATAAGCTAGGAAATTTCTCTGATCTAAGTCTTCGTTCATAGATTTTGATCTGTGACTCAAAGTTGTCTGCAGGTACGGCAGTGCCGCTGTTCTGGTCCCGCAATGCTGCAGTCCGACAGTGCCGCCCTCTAGAGCGACAGTACCGCATGATGAATTTGATAAAAGTTTGAGTGTTTGTTTTGACAGGCCTATTCACTCTCCCTCTAGACCAATCAGAGATCCTACAAGAGTGTTAGGAGCAATATTAGTAATAGGGAGCAATATTAGTAATAACAACATAATTGTAGAATACGCTCCTATTTGGCTTGCTTGGCTTCTTCTTTTGATGAATCCCTCTTCTAGGGATTCTTGCACCATAGTAGGTGTCCTCGTCATCCCCGTTCTCGGTGTCGCTGCTCTCTTGCTTGGAGCCATCACGTTTTCCTCCCTTGCCTGTAGGAGGGTCACCATTTTCCTCCTTTGTCTTTGGGAGAGTTGTTTTCTCCCTTGCTGGAGATGCTGCCCTTCTTATTGGTTGCTCCAAAACCTACAGTGGGATTGACAATGGCATCCTCATCGCTAGCAGTTTCCACTATCACTTCATCCTTCTTTTCTTCCAAGCCGGGAGGCTTATCCCTAGGACTTGATGCCATGTCACCTCACGTTGTAAAGCGCCAAAACACGAGGTTTAGGTTCTGATACCAATTGAAAGGATCAATGCAAGGCTCAGACGGGGTGAATGGGCCTACCAAACTTAAACTCGAAAACAGCGGTTAGCAGACTGCGGAACCTCTGCAGATTCTCGCGTAACTTCCACGCAAAAGGTTGAAGGTGCCCTCGAGCTATAAATCAGAGATGAAAAACAGATCGAGTTAAATACCTAGCTTCATGGTGGTTCTAGCTTCCTTTTTGCACCAAGTCCGTGCAGCTGGAACACACGAGCGAGTAGACCAGGTGGAAAGCCTAGAATCGCAATTCAAACAAGAGAAGAGGCACAAACTCAAAAAGAGAGGAGACAAGTGATTTACCCCGAGGTTCAGCTGAGCCAGAAAGGCTCGCTTACATCCTCGTTATTGAGATAACCACAAAGCTTCCAACTCCAACCTCTTCTCAAGCTTGAGGGTTCCACTAAGCTTCACAGGGGTAAATCAGGATCGTAGACCCTTTTTTTAAATGTACATGATCTCTTTTCATTAGTGGCACGACCAAAGTGGTAGATCAAATTAAACGCTGTTGCTGACAGGTGGTGGTCATTTGCCGAACAATATGGCTAGCAAGAAATAAAGTGGTTTCTAAGTAAAAATGTCAACCTTTTTTTTTTGCGGATTTCATTTGAAGGAATGCACTGGCTATAAGTAGATCGCTTTCTGTTTACTGGTACCTCGGTGGACTCTGGGGTCATCGTCGGTTGCTCCGCCGCGGGGAAATTCTCAGGTTCCAGAATCCAGAAAGGCACGGTACCCCGTACCTCGTGCGTTCGGCCGAGGCGCGTCGGTACGGGGTGTTGCGTGTCGGTAGCCTACCACACAACACCACATCGTCACCATTTGCAGTCACGATCACGACACGCCGGCCGCCGCCTGACCCGGGGAAGAGTGGTGGTGGGCCACGAGACCGAGCAGAGTTTGGTGCCGTCGCTACTGCATGTGACGCTGCCAGCAGCTCTCGGGAGCAAGAAATAACGGTCACCGTCATGTCACGGTATCCTATTCGCTTGATCGTTTCTGTAGCTTATAAATCGACTGATACTGTTTTATTGTGAAAGAAAAACACTGTATTATAACTGATAAGCATAACTAATATCATCAAACGATTATGTAATATCATCAAACGATTATGTAGAAGCCGGTCCAAGTTTGGAGTAGTATTCGTTTTTTCAACTGCCACGCTTATCCGTGCCGCGGTAGATCTTGGAATACGATTATAAAGTAACTTGCTGGCTGCATGTAGGGTGAGCCAATGGTGCCGGACCCAAAAGTACAATACTAATTCCGTTGCGACTTGCGACACGAGGAGGACAGACACGTCCGCACCGGAAACGTGCACGTGCTGGGAAGTGGGGATTCACGGACGCGCCCTGCATCGTGAATGAATCGGATTGGAATTTGGAATATGTGCCACGCAAAAGATGGGCTAAAAAGACGGACGAGCCTGCGTTAAATTGATACGGTTCGGCAACGCGCAACAGGCGCCCGACTTGGTGCCCTGATCCTGCGACGAGACGGAACCCGACCTCTACTACTACGAGTCGGCAGACGCGGGGCTGGGGTGTGGGTGTGGCGCCAGTTTACTGTGACTTTTGGATTCACTGGTATAGGGCCCGTGCTAACGCTACGGCTTCATTTCAATGAAGCATATAAAAAGAATCAAACAACGATATTGTTTTTCATAGTTCAACTTTCACACAATTGTATATGATCATGTATATAATCCAGAAAACGCTGGTGCATATCAAGACATAATAAAGTTATGTCTCGTCTTAACCATCTAATTTACAATCTGCCTAAGACCTTAAGTAGGCAGAGCATTGTTGAAGTAAACCGGGATATTACGGCGCTGTTGAAGGAAACAGGGCAAGGTTCATGAACAAAATAAACAATGCCTAATAATTTGATAGCAATCACATGTTCTAAACACCGTATTCTTATACCACGAAAGATTTCCGAAGATCGTGCACTTGGTTGATCCGGTGCGTTTGAAAGTGCACTTGATTCAGCTGCCTCTTATTCCTCTCCTCCCTTTCCTCGTTGGTTTCTTGGCTCATAACAGTACATAAGATTGTATGAAGCCGAGTACATGATAAACTTACAGATATAAAAATTAGTTCTTTACAAAGCTGAGTTTATTCTTACCGAGAGTCCTTTTTCTACCTTTTCACATGCCACGCAATCATCCACCCACCACAATAATATCCATTTTTTTAGCATTTGCTCCAGCCACCAAAGGAGCAGATCCTTCCGATCTTTCCCATTTTTTCCAGAAGTACCCAATACTTGTGAATAGCAGCTTCAGGTTCATGGAATTGTTGCCAAAAAAAGTTGAATTCTGCATATTATGTATGGCTAATGCAATCAATTTTGAGAAAACTCAAACAGAAAAATAGGGAGGAATTTGACAAACCGATAATTTTCTAAAAAATTAGAAACATGGCAAAATTGGCAATAGACTTATGCTACATGGCAATTTAGAACCACGACAAGATCTCTCCAGCAAGTAGAATCACAAGTGAAGCATAGGCAAATACATGGGATTCATAAATTTATATTGCTAGCATCTTTAGGGGCGTTTTCAAGCTTCTTCTCAAAACAGAATTTTCGGAGGTTTCAGACTGTGCAACACCTTAAAATTTAAAAAACGTACAATATCCAACATACTTTTTCGCCCCATTGTCGACTAATGCAGTAGTTAGTCTGTTTGATTCAAAAACTAAAATCGTTCACATTAAGCATTATGGGAGCACCCAATGCTTGATACCTGGAATGTTGTGCACAAAGCCGATCACCACGCCTCCCTACAATAGCAGAAGCAGTCATTTCACTTTCTTCAGTCTTTCATTGCAGTACTTCAAGATACAAGAACGCAACATGCACCATCTACTGAATGTAGATGTGCACCACAAGCACAATTTCGCCAATGATCCTGGTGATGTTGTCTGTAGTCCTTGCAGTGAGCTTCCCCTCCATCAAGACCCCATCTTGCCAGTGAAGATCACCCCCATCATGGCGGTGATGGAATAGATTGACAACGGTGCAGGGAATCTCTTTAGAGCTGCAGCCTAGAGCAGCACCACATTCAGCTAGAATATAATTAGAAGAATTTCTGAAACTCTACAGAACAGTTACTATTGCTTAAAGGCTATGAAACTCAGATATACCTACAGAACAGTGTTGCAGGCAAAGATTATGACCACAGTCAGAAGATAGAAACATCCAAGCATCCAGTCTTGCCTGCCTTTGCCATTTGAGAGCTCTTCAACATCGCTGAAAATAGATACACTGGGAGTGGGGTTCTTGAGGAAGCTCATGCACATTGCGCCACTAAGGCACACCAGAATGACCAAGATCTTTACTCTGGTGTAGTTGCACTTCCAGTCAAACCTCTCAAACCTAATAACACATCAACAGTTAGGACTGCCCCAACTCGCCGCATCCATAACATCCTCTCTTTCTTTGCTCATTTCTTTGATTGGTGAAGATAAAATCTTGAATTTGGATGGGCACACCCTTTACATTGAGCTTTTGGATCATCTTCTCCACCTTGTTGATAAGTTTGATTGATTCTTCATCAAGGGCGGAGGTGATGGAGGAAGATTGATCATCATCACTTGATTCTTCATCATCCTCATCTTCATCTTCATCTTCATCTTCATCTTCATCTTCACTTGAGAAGCTTGAGCTTGAGCTTGTGTCAACTTGCTTGCCCTTCATCTTCTTGTGCTCACTACAAGCGAGAGCTTTGCCTTTACTTGATGAAGAGGCTTCTTCTTGACCTATCTTGCATGACATCTCAAATGCCACTATCTTGCCAATCACAATGGCTGGTGTCATGTTGCTCAAGTCCTCCATGTTGTGAAGGATGGTCATGATGATTGCATACTTTTCTTGTGGTAGCATGGAGATGATCTTCCTCACGATGTCCGCATCACCTAGCTTTGTTAATCTTATAGAATTGAGCTCATTGATAATTAAATTTAAACGAGAATACATATCTCAAACAAGCTCATCTTCATTCATTTTAAAGGAATCAAAGCTTTGTTTAGCTAGGCAATGTTTTTGCTCACGAACATTACTTGTACCGTCATGGAGCTCTTGCAATTTTAACCAAATTTCATGTGTCGTATTTAAGGTGAACACTTGGTTAAAGACATCTATGCTAAAAGATTCAAACAAGCAATTTTAGCTCTAGCATTGAAATGCATTTCTTTTTCTTCACTCTTAGTGGGTTTATCAGGATTCTTAATGGGTTTCATTCCGTCATAAGTGACTCTCCAAACACCCAAATCAACGGCCTCAAGGTGACAAGCCATTCTAGCTTTGTAATAGGGGACGTTCGTGCCATCAAAGTGCGGAGGCCTAGAGGTATCTATCCCAACTACTCTAAATAGCATCGACTCAACGACGGTGAAGCCAAAGGTTCAAATTGAGCCAACCGGCTCCGATACCACTTGTAAGGGACCATGACGCCTAAGAGGGGGGGGGGTGAATTAGGCAACATTAAAATTCTACTTCTGACTAAGGCCTCTAATTCCACCTAGTCAAAACCTATGCAAGAAAGTAATCTATCTAAATGTGCAACTACGATTTTGCTAGGTGTGTTGCTATCTCTACCGCAAAAGAGTTATGCAACCTAGGTTCCAATCCTATCAACTAGCCTATCAACTAAGCTAGGGAAGTAAAGCACACAACCAAGATAACAATGTAAATGCGGAAGGTAAAGATGAGGCAGAGATGCAAACTCCTGTCGACGACTCTGGTATTTTTACCGGGGTATCGAGAAGTGCTCAAGCTTCCCCCTAGTCCTCGTTGGAGCCCCTCGTAAGGAATCCCTCACAAGGGCCAAGCTCCCAGTCGGGTAACTCCATGGATAGCTCCGGGCCTTCCCCACGCGCAAGTGGGTCTCCGGTGTGCCTTCCGGCAAGCCTCTCCCGGACCACTCCCCGCCATCTTCACTATCAAGCTTCCGGCCAAACCACCGCGGGCCTTGTTTCCTTTGGTACACGGTGACGGCCACACCACAAATGCGGTTGGTGTGGTCTCGCGAGACTACAAGCCCCACCGAGTACAACAATGGTGCGCACAAGCACCGAGTGGTAAGAGGTATGCAAACCTCACTAAACACTAGGCCTAAGCCTAGAGTAAGCGCATATGTGGTGGTCTAACTAACCTAAGCACTTCGCAAAGCACCTATGCTAATCACCTAATGGATCATTAAGAACTTAGCATGTGGAGAGCACTAGAATGGAATACCAACCCCTTTGGTATGTTCCTCAGCTCCCTCACCCCTCAAAGGGCCGGTTGGGGTGGTATTTATAGCCCCCAAGTCCAAATATAGCCATTGGAGGTGTTGTTGAAATTCTGCGTGGGCACCGGACAAGTACTGTTCACTATCGGTGCTGGTACAGTTCACTATCCGGTGTTGACATTGTTCACTGCCCGGGGTACGTTGCAAGTACTGTTCACTGTCCGGTGCTCTCTCTCCCCAACGGCTATATTTTCAAACTAGCTGCTATAATGTTCACTGTCCGGTGCACATGGCAAGTACTGTTCATTGTCCGGTGCTAGCTACTCCAAAATCGCTGCTCTCTTGAAAAATATGGTGGTGCCCTGTCTGGTGCACAACGCTTGTCCAGTGCCACCCTATCCGGTGCACACTGTGTTGTCCGGTGCCAGCTGCAACTTTGCC